AAGTAGTGATACCAAATAAGGCAGGTCTGGTTGTTTAAAATCCAAAGTGGCACGACAAACTATACTGAGTGGGGGTGATTACCTGAGAGCTATTCTAATTCACGCCTTATAAATAGGAATCAAAAGGAATACCTTCAGAACAGCAAAATGGAAGAAAGAACCAAGATGAAAGCATGGTTGACCTTTTTGCTCTTCTTTCTGATACGAAACACCCAAGGGGCCTTGTTTACTATCTGAGGTAGGGAGTACTTAGGTACTTCTTTGCTGCCCAGATTGTGTGAGAGATGTTTGCCCAACCCTATACACAGGTCGGCTTCTGTGCATCCTTCCTGGCACATACACAAAAGGCCTCTCCAACTTTTTTTCTTTTTTTTTAAGATTTTATTTATTTGAGAGAGAGAGAGAGAGAGCACGCACAAGCAGGGGGAGCTGCAGAAGGAGATGGAGAAGCAGGCTCCCTTCTGAGCAGGGAGCCCGATGCAGGGCTTGATTCCAGGACCCTGGGATCATGACCTGAGCCGAAAGCAGATGCTTAACCGACTGAGTCACCCAGGCGGCGCAGGGCTCTCCAATTTTTTGATCCCACTTGGGAAGCAGACAGGGAAGCTAGGTTTAGTGGGGACTGGTCCATAACTTGCTTTCAGCAGAAAGGAAATACTCATACAAGCTGCCAGGGTCAATCTGTCTTTACAGAACCATTTTATATGGACATAATAGGAATTTATTTATTTATTTATTTTAAAGATTTTATTTATTTATTTGACAGAGAGAGACACAGCGAGAGCAGGAACACAAGCAGCGGGAGTGGGAGAGGGAGAAGCAGGCTTCCCGTGGAGCAGGGAACCCGATGTGGGACTCGATCCCAGGACCCTGGGATCATGACCTGAGCCGAAGGCAGACGCTTAACGACTGAGCCACCCAGGCACTCTTGGACATAATAGGAATTTAGAGAAAGGTGGAAGGATGCCTCTGCTAGTTATGGGCTATGAGATGATGTTTGTAGCTGGAAAGAGATTAGAGACTGACAGACTGGATTATAATTTTCAGGGGAGAGTTGGTCTAAGAATGTCAAAGAAAGAACAAGTGTTTGCCAGGCTTCTATTGAGTGGGCCATAATTATAGAGTGAGCAAAAGGAGTCTGACTTGCTCATAATGGAGGAAAAATGATCTGCCATGTTACTTCTTGAAATCAGAGTAATCCTTAGGAGCAGTATGAAAGGCAAATGGGAAATACTAATGCTAGGTAGAACCCTTCAGTGTTGCCACAATGAAGACAAAATTCTGCGCAAAAAATACGAAGGAAGAATGACCTCTGAGGAGAGGCTGAGCTGGGTTGATGTGGTCCTTACATATCTTGGGTACGAAATTGGGGAATGACTTAAGAATATCTTTATCCTTCAATTTCTACTGACTCAGGAGCTCATGTCCTTGAACTTCTGAGTTTCCTCCAAGCTCAGGTCTGGCCATGTGGCCATGGACAAGGCATCCAGCTTGCACCTTGGTTTCTCTACCCCAAAAAACCAGAAGAGAATCTTTGCTCAGAGACTTCTTTGAAAACTCACAATCTTACCACGTGCACAGTTGTATTGTCAGAGTCACAGCTGACTGAAGGGACTGAAGACACATCTGTAGAGAGCAAGACCCACTGTAAAGACAGACTAGAAAGCAGGGAAGAGGTAAACCGTGTCGAGAGGGAAGTCGGGTGGAGGGTTCTACTTTGAGCATTGCCTTTACAGATGTGCATTATCTGGCAGCTGCAAAGATGACCGGGGCTTTCTCATCCATGGAGAAGTGATGCTGAGATCGATGTGCATCCGGGTGGATGGTCTTTGGGTCCCAGTATGCAAGAGGAAGAGGGATCTGATAGGAAGGGTATTACAGCTCATGCTGGTTATGTCTCATTAGATTAGAGGCTAAGGGCCTCATCAGGTTTCCACTTTACCTTCATGACTCATTCTCTTTGAGGAGAGGTTCTGGGTGGCTAGCAAGATACCATGATTTGGTGGCTCAGACCCCCTGCCTGAGATGTATGATCCCAGGGGCCAAATATATCTTCATATATTCCTTTAGTCCACAGAGGATTATTAAGAGCCCACCGTAGGTGGGGCTTTTCTAGATACTCCTGATGACAATAATAGCAAGTATTTACTATGTGCCAGCATCCTTCGAAGGGCTTCACATGTATTAATTTACTTGATGCTCACCATAACCCAGGAGGTTGGGCCTGTTCTCATCTGCATTTTATATTAGGCACCAAGAGGTTAAATATCTGGCTCAAGATCACATAGTTAGTAGCCTGAGTCAGGATGTGAACACAGGCAGGCTGGCCCCAGAGCCCATGCTCTGGCCAGTCAGGCACTGTGACCATGACAGGGGAGATCCCTATCCTCACGGAGGAAGATAAAACAGACAAGGCAATACGTGATGTTATTTTCAGGACTGATAAATGCTATAAAGAAAACCAAAGCAGGGTATGGGACAGAGTGACAAAAGGAAGGCTATTTCAGACAGTGTGGTCAGGACAGCCCTCTGCGGGAAGGTGAAATCAGAATAAAAGTCTGAGGGGAAAAAGGGAAATGAGCGATGGGAAGGTCTGGGGAGAGTATTCCAGGCAGAGGGTACAAAGCCTCCATGATGGGAACAAGCTTGGGGTATATCAGGGACATCAAGAAGGCATCTGAAAGTGTGAGGGAGCCATGAGCAATGGAAAGCCTTTGAGGACTTCTTAAGGATTTCAGATTTTATTGCCATGGTGCTATGAAACCTCTGGAGGGTTTTGAGCAGGGGTAAAACCTGCTCTAATTTTCCTTTTAAGAAAAGATCACTCTGGCAGTTTGTGGAGAATAGATCATGCAGGGAGGGGAAATCAGGGAGGCATGTTAGAAGGCTATGAGAGCAGCCAGTGAGAAGAAAATAGAGACACTGCTTTACTTCAGGCCTTTAGGCCAAGGTCAGCTCATACCAGCATGGAGCAAGGCAGCTCCAGGAGTCGCTAACATCTCATAAGCTAACTACAGTAAGTGTGACACCTGGATTCAGGAAGTCTTAACAAGAAAGGGAAGTGAGCCGGAACTTCCCAGGTGTTGACCTGTAATTGGCTGAGTTCTCTGATGGAATGGGAATGTTTTCATTTGTCAGAACCTTTCTGAGCAGAGTCTTCAGGGCCAACATAATCATCTGGTGCTCTCCTGGCGAAGGGCCCTGGGCCTGAAAGTAGGCCCACCTGTTCCCCAACTGGCAAGGAAGGTGCACTTGCCAGGCTGTCCTGGGGAGGGCATCCTGGCCCCCACAGGTTCAGAGGCTGCAGGTTTGAGTCTGTTTTGAGTGCGGATTCACTGGGGATGTCTGAAGAGAGCCAGTCTAATCTTTTTGTTTTTGAAAGGGCGGTGTTAGCATTTCAAACCGGGAGGTGACACAGACAATTACATAACAGAAGAAATGGTGGCACAGAGTACTTACAGGCACCTTTTCTAAGCAGTTTTCTACTCTGTGCAACTTTATGCTAAAGAATAAAACCAGTCTGGGAGATGCTTGCCAACGTCTACATCAGAAAGTGCCAAAGAATTGAATCTGAGTTTATGCGAAATAAGGACTCAGGATGTTTGTTTTTTCCCAAGTTCCAGTGCTAAAGGAGCCCATAAAATTCAACCACTGATGCCTGGAAAATGCCATCGTCCTAGAGTTTTCAAAATGTCAACTCATTTACCTGCCACTATCAAAGTACACGCAAATATGCAGATCGGTTTCTTTTTCTGATTATCCTATTATCTTCTCATTGCCTTCCTTAAAGATCATTTCCTAGGCTTGTCTGAATGTGGCAAAGTTATTCTGTTGCTAGATGGATAACTGGAGAACTCAAGGAGGGTTATCAGAATCCAAAAATTTATTCTAGAAGGGATTGTTTCATTACATTGCAAAACTTCTGAATTTGACATAAAGAGAAAACTACAACATTTAATATTGCTTCTTTTTCTGAATCGTTTAGAGTGAAGCATGAAGAAGGGTTAGGGATATATGTGTACATATATACATATATAATTGCATATATATGTCATATAGTATGATATGATATACCGTCAGCTGAGCTGGTATCTCCTGATGATGCTAAACAAGCCCTTTCCAAAAACACTAGGCAGAACTGAGGGAAATCATAAGGGACTTCCCTTCCATACTTTATAAACAAATTTACTGCAACTAAGAGAAACGAATGGAAGGAGAAATGGAGCTTATGGTATGACTGTTGCTAAATCAAAGAAAAATAGTGAAAAGGATGAGTTTTTTAGAGGGTGAGAAAACCAACCGAGAGTAGGCTACTTGGCCTCTGACTCTCTAATTAATTTTGCAGAAAGAGGGACATATCACACTACCCAGGAGACCATGCTGCTGCGGATGTTCCGGAGAAAGAGAACAGCAGGCACAAATCAAGGTGATCCCTGGCACTTCTACAAGACAAAGACAAACACACCTTCCAGGGTCCATTATGGGGTCAGTAGCCAAGCAGCTGTGCCTTACATCATTTGCACCTGCAGATACACCTTCCATGTGGCAACAAAATTCAGGTTCCTCACCAACGATCATGTCTCCAAGAAAAGGGCAACAACACCTTGAATTATGATTTTAAAATACTAGGCAAAGTAGAATATATTTACGTTCTTTGACATATGTCAACGCATAAATATGTAAATATATCTTAGAAAGGGGCAACATTTTTTTTTAAAAGTTTCTCATATTTAAAGATCAACCTTTAGTAAACGATGAGAATACAGCTCCCCAGAAGGATGCATTCCCTGAGATTCTGGAAAGCTGATATTTTCCTTTATGTTCTCCTTGAGTTCAGTAATATGATAGGTCATCTTTCTGTGTCTATATGAATAAAAGGAACAGTTTCATGACCCTGTGGTATAAATCATAAACACCAAAAGCAGTGATGTCCAATTAAGGGGGATATGTCAAAGTTTACAGCTCTTAATGAAAGACAGTACATCATCGAACCATCTTACCTGTCGACGAATTATTCCAAGGTCTCTTTTGGCTTTATTCACTAGGGCTTGAATTTCTACAGGATCCTTTACATTCTTATTTTCTCTGAAGGCATCTCTTATCCTCCTGACAGTGTAAGTTCTAAATGAATTCAGGAGAAAAAAAGAAAAAGTGTCAGCAGTCTGAAGCTATGCTTTTAAATGAAATCAAAAGCCTTTCCTTACGAATTAACTGTCTGTATTCCCCTGTGAATAATCCACTTAGATCTTTGCTCTTGGGACAGGCCCATCTATTACTATTCTGGGATGACTAAACAAACAGATTAGGGAAATAAATCTAGCACAAACAATCCACATATAAATGGCAAACTGCTACTGAATTGCTCCTTAGATTCCTGGTTCTTTAGTTATTCACATCTGCGTTCTCTCCATTAACATGGATAACTGAACCTTTAATGTACAGAGACAAAGCAAGAATTAAAAGAGGTGAAACAATGCACCACATATGCATGCACCCAGACAGTGATCTATGCCTGACTCGGGTCAGCTCTCCAATCTTGTCCCATCTTTTAGCTGTTTATTCCTCTTGGGGAATATAACGTATAAGGATCCATGTTGGGACCCTACCACAGTGGAGAGTGGAGATTATACCAAAATGCTTTCCCCCATCTTTTTTTTTTTTTAGATTTATTTGAGAGAGAGAGGAAGACAGAGAGAGAGCACGAGTAGGGGGAGGGGCAGCAGGAGAGAATCTTCAAGCAGACTCCCCCCTGAATGGGGAGCCGGACACGGTGCTCAATCCCACAATGCATGAGATCATGCCCTGGGGACGAAACCAAAAGTTGGATGCTTAACCAACTGAGCCACCCAGGCTCCCCTGCCTTCCTCCATGTTTAAAGTGCATACATATGCACATATGTGCACATACAAACACCCTCTTCCCACCAATATAAATTACATGCAGCACAGGACAGCAATTCAAGAGCACGGTTTCAAATCAGACAAGCTCGGCTTTGCGCCAAGCTCCCACTGTTTGTGTGAACTTGGGCAAGATTCTTAACATAAGCCCATGTTTCCTCATCTGTCAAATGGGCATAATACCACCTACCTCTCAGGGCTGCTGGGAGGATTCAGCTTTATCCTCTAACCCAATCAACAAAAGCTCTTCTTCTTAATATCTTAATGCATTAGTACCCCCCCCTCTTGACATCACAGTCTCACCTTCATCCCACATCCTCAGGGTCATACCACGGTGTGTGGACAGAGGGCAAAATGGTCTGGATAATCAAGAGTCCTTAACCTGATGTGTCCCCTACACAGTCATGGACTTAACCCATGCCCTCCCCATGTACGCAAGACTGAACACAAGAGATGAAGAGCGAGGAGTCCAAGTCAGTCACAGCAAACACCATTTTCTCCAGTCCTTTTATGATCTCACGTGGCTCCGCTTTTAACTTTAAACACCAGCTAAAGAATCCAATAGAACCTATTAATAACATTTGCACACAGAAGCAAAGAGATGAGAGAAGGGGAATATAATTTCTTTGGGAGTTTGGGAGTATGTTCAGGGAGATGGATATCATTTACTGGGAAAAACTTGTTTTAGAGAAGACTACTTTTGTTTTAGATCAACTTTCCTAAAGTAAAAAGAAATTCTAAATTAAAAATCCAAATGGCGGGTCCTTTGCAAAAGGAGTTTTGCAAAAGCAAAAGTAAAATGAAATCTTGTGCCGTTAAGAATCGTGACAGAAAAAGGCAGACACTTTTAGGACGTAAGCCACTGGATAGACGTTCATTTGAAGCCTTGGTGAACCAACGGGAGTATCTGCAGAGGCGCTCCTGGGTGCTCAGGATCAATCTTGGGACAACCGTGACCGGAAATGGAATCCCTAAACTAGCAGACACTATGTAACGACAGGGACTCCTTCATTATGAAGGCTTGGAAAGGATTTTTACTAGACTCTATCAGATATTCTCCTGTATAGCTGCTAATCTAACAAGAGGTTAGACTATCTAGGAAAGCTAAAAGCAATTCCTGGGGTACTTTCTTGCACAGCATGATGGTTATTAACATAACACAATACCACTGTCCTTCCTCACACCCACACATTCCTCAAAACAGTTTCTTTGTTGGTGGTGATGGGAGCGGAGTGGACACCCGTAATTTAATTCTAATATTTTGTTCCACATGTAGGACCGGTTTTAGAACAGGAATTTACCCCAGGGAGTCATCATTGTTTTAGTTCTTCACTCAGGATGCTGCATGGGATTTTTGGAAAAATGAAATGGTCAATAGTAATCATTACTAAATTCATTTCTCTAGACGCTAGTGACTACCCCAGAATAGCCAGCACAAAAGGGAGTATAGCTTGGAACATGAAGTCTGAAGTTCTTCTAAAGTTTAAGGAAATCAGAAAATAACGGGGCTCAAAGATTTCTATCAGCTGAGCTCAAGGTACAGCCTTTTACACAGTTGGCTGTGTATTCTTGTTGTCTCCCCAGATCTCCGAAGTCCACACTTAAAGGAACAAAGTTCTAGATGTTTGAATTAAATGTGTCTAAAGCAATCAAGAGTTGTCGTTCCAAACCTGAATGCACCTCTAACACGAATGATGTGGTGATGGCTCTCTCTTCTCTTTCTTGTTCCTCGTCCTCCTCCATCTAAAACATACAGTGTTTTCCTTTGCCCCAGGAGAAGTCATTGCACTGGCTCAGAACCATATAAGTAATTACTACTGCATGAACAATTTTTCAGTTGTATGAATTATTTCTTTTTTATTAAATAGATTTTTAATTTTTTTGGGGGGGGAGGGGCAGCGGGAGAGGGAAAGAGAATCTCAAGCAGACTCCAAGGCCAGTGCAGAGCCTGTCTCGATCTCACCACCCTGAGATCATGACCTGAGTTGAAATCAAGAGCTGGATGCTTAACTGACTGAGCCACCCAGATGCCCCAGTTGTAGGGATTATTTCAAATGATCATAACTTTGTGAAGGTAATCACAAATCTGCCCGAACCTTCAAATTTTGTAGGAGAGGGCTAACCACCCATTGTTTCAGTTCTGCCCCCACCTGGTTTTTATCCTTTGCATTTTTTCCACCACTACAAGGAAAACCATTTATCCTTGAACACATTCTGGCTATTGGCCTCTTGACCCTATCACTGAGCAAGAACATTTCAAAGAAAAATGTGCAGAGGCCGCCATGAAAATGTGCAGCTGCCGCACATGGAATGATCCTAGTATGAGTCAGATGCTGTTTGAAAGAAAGCATGAAAAATTAACAAATAAAAGGCTACATAACAGTAAGAGCTACCAACTCTGGGAAAGCAGACCACATCCACAGAAATAGTAAGGCTATGCTGCTCATACAGTCACTCTCCGTCTACGCTGCTGAAGCTCTGCGGAATTTCTTCATGCTTCCTTGTGCAGATTTCCATTTGGCTTTTCCTCTCTACCCCAGCCTTTGCCCTTTAGTCTGCCATGAGACCTCCGAGTGTATACAGGCTCTACTGACTATCCTTTCATCATTGCAAGGATCCAACTCCTTTATGAGATTCTTCTACCCACTGTAATTTCCCAGCTGCAAAATAAACAGCAGACAGTAATGAAAGCACTATGGTGCCCGAGGTCTTGCTTTACTTTCTCCCCTTCCAATGCAGGCCCCAATAATCACAGCACTTGGAGGCTCACATCGGTTGTAGCGTCCAAAAGGTGCGACTGGGAAACAAGCTGATATAATACCCCTCATTTGCGTCATCCTTCATCACCACCCCACCCCACAATCTGGTTTCTCTGCTTATTCATCCTGTAAAAACATTGGTGCTTTTTCTTTCTTTCCCCAACCCCAAGTATCTCAATAACAAAACAACTTGACCCTTCTTTTAGTCTTTCTGGGGCAAACTCCTTCAATTGCTTGGAAGGACAAGTGCTCCATCAACTTGCCTTAACTCAAATTCCTTTATAGCCACAAAGAGAAAGCTGCTTAATTCTGCCATGCCTTCAGATTCCAAGGGACTGAGAGGAGAGTGCCAGTGTGTTCTGGGATCCTACCCCTGCTTATGGGTCATTGGTTCACCCTTAACACATCTTTGAGGCCAAGCTACCTAACGAAACCATGTTGTGTGCCCCGACACTGTTATCTGCTGACTTCTTGATGTCAAGTCTCAAGATTCATCAAGGCTTAGTATCCAAATGGCACTCAGTGCATACACAGGCCACTTAAAAAATTAAACTTAAAAAATCATCATAATTTTTAATAAAAATAAGATCCTTTGAAGTCAACAGTTTTTATGAGATCGAAGACAGTGTTTGCAGTTTTTAACTGAGTTATCTACATTTGCTTTACTGATGGAGAGTTCCACAGCAAGCTGGTGTCTTGTCCTGCTCTCTAGATCTACTAGTTATTTCTTCCTAGGCTACTCTGCGAGCTCATCTTATTCTGCTGCCTCTTCTATGTTGTATTCTCTAGGGTTCTCTACTGGATCTCTTTTCTTCTAAATAAAATCTCCTCCACTAACTGAATCTGTGCCCAAAGTTTTATACTATCATATATATGCCACTGGCTACCAAGTCATTCTCTAGTCCCAACTCCATATAACCCAACTGCCTTTTGGACTTGCTAACACAAGACACCCACTATTCCTCCTACAGCTTCTTGTACTGAACACTTTCAAACTGAAGTCACCATCTTCTTTCCTCCCTGGCCCCAGTGGCCAGTATTCCCTTTGCAGGTAGGTGCATTTTCATAAAGCTAACTATCTAAGTCAGACATTTGGGGATTCATCCTAAATTCCCTCCTTTCCCTTAACTCCTTATATTCAATCAAGCACAATATTTCATTGTTTCAACCTTTTACATCTCTTCTGAATCACCTTCCACTTCTCCAAACCTTCAGCCCTAATCTTGGTTCAGGCTCTTATCTCTCACACTAATGCAAAAGCCTTGGGATTGTGGCGTGTGTGATGTACAATAAAATGGATACTAACAACAAGAGAGAGAAAGCTCAAGGACCATTTGAAGGTCATGAGTACTCTGGGTGGATAATAGGGTGAGGGACAGATCAGAAAGCTTCCTTCTTATGAATATAGGTTCCCACTAGAATATAAGCCCCACGCAATAGGGACTTTTCTCTTTTTTGTTTACCACTGGATCTAAAGTGCCTGGCTCAGAGACTGTACTCAATAAAGACTTAGGGAATGAATATACTTCTCAAAATATCAGAGGCAATAATAAAAAGATCTTTAGGAAAAAGGCCAATAGTCAATAAGGAAAACACAACAAAGAATATGAAACTGAAAAGGAAATAGAATGAAAAGGGTTTGCAGCACAAAGATTGAAATAACCTCTGAGAGGTAGTGGTTACAAAATGTGCACTGAGAATTCACTGAAGAAATATGTACTGAATGTCTATTATGTAAGTACAATACTAGGGCTACAGAGGAGAGCAACAAGGTTTTGGACTCGGGGACTAGATAGGAAATCTACACAGAGATGAAAGAGGAGGTAGAAGTCATTTAAAGTGAACACAGAAGGGCTAAGGAGAGTTTTGGGGGTCAATGGAACAGTTCTTAGCTTGTCTGGGGTGGTGTTTTCACATCTACATTTGACAAAACATTGAAATTGTACACTTAAAATAGATGCATTTTATTATAGGTAAATTATTTCTCACTTGGGTGACTTTTAAGGAAAATTGAAAAAATAAATAGTATTGGAGTTATATTACATTTGCCCACTTTTAAGAAAAGCAAAAAGATACCACCAAAGACTGCAATGCTAGACAATGATTATGTACATGGCTGAAGTAGAAATTAATGCTGTATTAGAGAAACCAGGATGGAGGACAAACTGGAAAGTCAAACCTGAAACAGAAAAATTATGTAAGTTGATGAGAAATATGTAAGAAAAAAAATTAAGCTTCAGAACAGGGCAAAAGTACATAACCTATGAATAGTAAATGTGAACAAACTGAACTGGGTAGGTAATTAAAGATATAATAGAAGAAAATGTCCCAGGAGTGATTATATAAAAATTGAGAAGACTCACTGGATTTAACAACCAGAGTACAATGCCAAGATATTTACGTATAAAACCCTGAAGCCCAAGGTCAAAGAAAAAATAAGAAAGGATAAAGAAAAACCTTGAAGTAGATAACAGAGAATGGAATATAGATAAGTATATCCTCAGACTTCTGTTCTCAAAACTGCAAAGAAAAAGGCTGCTCTCCACAGTCATTTGCTGTCTTGAGGGCCCAGAAGGGGGAAGAAAATAGTATCTTTGATTGATGGCGCAAGCACCGTGCTCAGGACACTGGGTAGACATGACTTCATGTACTGGGTATACATGACCTCATTTAATCCTCACAAACTACGGCTCAGAGAGATTCAGAACATTTAGGCCAAGATTACATGCCTAATAAGTGGCAGAGTTGGATCCTGTACCCAGTTGACTACAGTTCTGTGATTTTTAATTCTAAGCTGTGCCTCCTCCAGAGGTCGATAAACTCTATCCAAATTTTGATAAATACTTGGTATAAGCCAAGTTGTTAATCATTTGAAAAGGCATTAAAAAAAATTGTCTCTTGCTTCACAAAGCTTAAAAAGATCATTTGGTCTCTCAACGCTGCTTCAAGTGTTCCTACTAATAGTTCAAGCACCAACAATGTCTTAGGAAAAGACAAGTAGCTGATGGCATTACGGGGTAAAGAACTACTGATACAAGCAGCAAGAGTGAGTGAAATAATCGAGATATTGTTTTAAAAAGGTGGACACTGATCAATAAGAAGAGCTGTGGAGTGAGGAGGTGAAGTTACTATCAGAAAACCTACTTGGGAGGCCAAACCTTCTTAGTCTCGGGGCAGCTGTAAATAAAACCTACTACATACTTCTCTGTTAAAATCCCCTACTGGCTTTCCATTGTCTTCAGGAGAAGGGTCAAATGCACGGACAGTATACTCCTGCTCATCTCTCCCACTCTATCAAGCACCCCTTCCAGCATGGTCCACCAACTCCAGCCATATGGGAAGACTTACAGTGTCCTCAGTCCTCTCTCCTTTAGCCTGCTGGTCCTCCATATGAGGAGTGTCCTCCCCCAGCTTGATTCCTTGGCTAACTCCTACTCGTCCTTAAACACCTAACCCAGTTAGAAACAAATATGACAAAAGATTAATATCCTTAGCATATAAACAGCACATATAAATCGAGTGGAAAAGACATTAGGCCCAGAGTAAATAAATAAATAAGAATCCAGAAAAAATAATTCACAAGAGAGCACAAAGAGGAACTAAATTTAGAGAGATAAATGGACAGAGATACATGAATGTTCAGCCTCAGTCATAATCAGAGAAATGCAAATTTAAATAAGGTACGATTTTCTGCCATCAAATTAGCAGAATTTTTTTTTAAAAAAAACAAAGGGCCTTTACATCCTGCTGGTGGGAGTATGAACTGTATTTCCTGTGGGGGAAAATAGCATAGTAATGTGTAATAAGTTCATAATTGTTTATCCAGTAATTCTACTTTTAGTAATCCTACAGAAATAACCTGAAATATGCATGAAGATGTATACTGAAAGATGTTCATTACAGCACTATTTGTAAGCATTAAAAATAAAAACAACCCTAAATGTTCAACAATGGAGAAATGGCTACATAATTTATGAAATTATGCTTTTAAAATTAATGTTTCAAAAAACTTAAAGTCCCAGGTGCAAAAGTCAAAGGTATTAAAAAATGTATCAGTCTCCCTCCCAGTTCTCTCTAGATGCAACCACAGCAGTTTCTTATTAGCCTCTCAGAGAGTAGATTCTAGCTAAAACCCCTGTATTTTCTTCCACAAGTGGCAGCATTCTAAGCATACTGCGTACTTTTAATTCTTCAATTAAAATGTATCAGTAAGCACTTCATATCAATACAAATGGAGCTGACTCATAAATGGTTGTGTCATATTCCACTGTATGGATGAATTAGGATTCATCTGGCCAGGCTTTTATTAATGGATATTTAGTTATATACAATCTTGCTCTTATAAACAATGCTGTAATTAATCAATATCCTTGTTTACTGTAGCATCACGTATGTGTATCTGTGAGATCAATTCTGAAAAATGGAACTTATAGGGCAAAGGACATGTGTATTTATGGCTTTAATAAAATTGTGTCCAAATTCTGTGTAGAGGTTCCACCAGAAATGTGTAAGTGTGACTGTTTCCTAACACCTTTGCCAAAACAATGTGTTATCTAAATTCCTGATCTTTGCTCATCTAACAGGTGGAAACAGTAACTCAGTTTTTTAAAAAAAAATTTTTTTTGAGTTATAACATGTAACATTATATTGGGTTCAGGTGTACAAACATAATTTGATACCTGTATACACAGTGAAATGATCACCACAATAAGTCTAGTTGACATCTGTCATCATACCAAATACACTTTAAGGACTTACTCTCTTGGCAACTTTCAAGTATGCTCTATATAATTGACTGTAGTCAGCATGCTGTATATTACTTCCCCATGACGTAGTTATAACCGGAAGTTTGGGTCTCTTGACCTACTTCACCCGTTTTACCTACTCCCCAACACTTTCCCCTTTGGCAACCACCATTCTGTTCACTGTATCTATGATTTTGGCCATGTTTTGTTTGGTCATTTGGTCTTTTTAGATTCCACATGTAAGTAAAATCATATGGTATTTGTCTTTCTCTATTTCCCTTAGCACAATTCCCTCAAGGTTTGGCCACGTTGTCACAAAAAGTAAGATTTTATTTTTTATGGTTGACTAGCATTCCACTGTATGTGAGTGCATATATATATACATACACACACACACCCCACATCTTTGTCCATTCCTCCACTGATGGACATTTAGGTTGTTTCCATACCTTTGCTATTATAATGCTGCAATGAACACAGGTGGGTGCATATGTGTATCTGAATTAGTGCTTTCACTTTCTTCAGATATATTCCTAGAAGTAAAATTGCTGGATCATATGGCATTTCTATTTTTAATTTTTTGAGGAACCTCCATATTGTTTTCCACAGTGGCTACACCAATTATATTCCCACTAACAGTGCATGATGATGGTCCCCCTTTTCTTCATATTTTTTTTCTTTTAGAGAATAGTCATTCTGACAAGTGCGAGGTGATATCTCATTGTGGCTTTGCTTTATATTTCCCTGATGTTGAGCATCTTTTCATGTGTCTGTTGGCCATCTGTATGTCTTCTTTGGAAAAATGTCTGTTAAGATCCTCTGCTCATTTTGGGGCAATGAAGCGGACCACCTTTCCACAAGTTTAAAGCCATTTATATTTCTGTTTATATCCTCTACTTTTTTGAATTGAATGATTTATCTTTTTGATTCATTGTAAGATCTGTTGTGAGAAGCTGAAATGATCTCCCTAGTTTGTCATTTGGCTTTATATCTGTGTGTTTTTGTCATGTAGAGATGTTTAGTTTTCACAGAGTCAAGTGTATCAATTTTTATGTTATGGCTTCTGGGTTAATTACCCTATGTACAAAAGCCCTCTCTACTGTGAGATCACAAGAAAATATTCATCCATGTATTCTTAAGGATCTTCATGAATTTTTTGTTTCACTCTTTCTGGAATTTATTTTAGTGGAAGGTGTTGAATACGACTCTAACTTCAGCTTCTAAGGTAAGTATCTTAAAATGAAGGATGTAACTATATACTCAGAATGACCTCAATTGTGGAATATATAGGCATAGAAAAACTAGAAGGAAATACAATGGCATGTTATAATTGCTTTCGGTTACTGGGGTTTATGCTTTCTAAATTATTACAATAACCATAATTTCCTCATAATGTTTAAGTTCCTAGTGACATCATAAAATCAGTAATATACTTCAAAATAAAGAAGAGGCAGCAATAGAGAAGGCTCACTTTGTGGGAGCAGAGATTGGGTTTTGAGTCTCTGGTGAGAACCTCCAGGCTGGCAATAAACTTGAAACTCACTGATGAAGAAGAGTGAGGCACAACCAGGGGAGTAGATGCGATTGTTCAGAAGAAAGCAGGAGGATGGGAAGAGAAGCCAGCTCTGGAGACACAGTAAATCTTTAAGAGCAGGCAGAGGGGATCAGAGTAGAGGCAACAGAGAGAGGAGACAAGAAGGCATACTTTACACGTAGAGAGTAAATAAGATTGTCATAGTCCTACAAAGGATAAGACAAAAGCTGAAAAGGGCTCCAATGAAGTTTGTAGTTAGGATGTTATTAGTAACTTTAGCAAGAACAACATCAGCATGTATTTATTGACTACAATGTAGTAAATGTATAGAAGGAAAAAACCCCTAAATTCTTGGAAATACACTCATAAATAACTGAGCCTAGAAAAATTTCATTATAGAATAAGAGAATATTTTTAGAATAATGAAAAAGATTATGCATAAAATCTTTGGAATGAGGTCAAAGCCATACTTAGATGAAAATTAATGGCTTATACAGCCTTCTTAGTTATAAAATAAAAGCAGAGTTTAATAAATTAACAATATTTCCTAATATTTTAAGAAAGCTTCTATTTATTTGAGAGAGAGAGAGAGAGAGCGCACCTGTGTAAGCATGCAAAGGGAGGGGTGGAGGGAGAGGGAGAGAAAGAATCTCAAGCAGACTCTGCGCTGAGCACAGAGCCCGACACGGGGCTCAATCTCACAACCCTGAGATCATGACTTGAGCCAGAATCAAGAGTTAGATGCTTAACTGACTGAGCCACCCAGATGCCCCTTTCTTAACATTTTAGAAAGGCAAAACAGTATCCCATGAGAAAATAGGAAGAAACAAGGTATTGTTAAAATGTGTCAAACAAATTAAAAATGAAAAAAAAAAAATCAGTGGAATTAGCTAAGACAACTGAGTTTATTCTTTTACATTATGGTTTCTGGGATATACATCAGAAAACAAAATTATGAGGAAAAAAGAGAGTAAGGAGGATTGGAAGTTTGAGAAGAGGGATTTAAAAGAATCATTTCAGCAAATGAGAGCATGCGAAGACCGCAGAACTTGCCAAACAATGAGAAGGGGCCAGCTGAAGTGGTACCAACTTGCCAAACACAGTGATTCTTCTTTTTCTCCAACTGTGGTTGGTTGCCCAGGTCTAGTTATGGGAAAGACAGATGTTTGAGGAATCCATACTTGCAGGTTTGACAGATGAGAGTAACAGAAGGGCAAGACAGAGAGTGGAGACAGAAAAATGTTCCAGGGCTCAAAGGAGGTGGTGCTAGGAATTTCTTCCCCTGCATGAACTGCTGAAAACCCCAGTTATTAGAACTTAGGCTATCAGCCCACTCAGCAGCCCCTTTGTAGGATTTAAGTCCTAATCTAAATGTCCAATAATAAACAGTCAAATAAATTATGGTAAATTAGTGGACTATATCTATCAAAATAATAAATGTGAAAATTATGTACAAATGAGAAAAAATATATTTAAAAAACACTATGACTTAAAAAAATTTCATATAACTACAGATTTTCAGTAAGTTTCTACGGAGAATTTTTTAAAAAGTTTTATTAATTTATTTGAGAGAAAGAGAGAGAGAGCACAAGCAGAGGAAGCAGCAGAGGGAGAGGGAGAAGCAGACTCCCTACTGAGCAGGGAGTCTGACGTGGGGCTTGATCCCAGGACCTTGAGATCATGACCTAAGCCTAAGGCAGGTGCTTAACCAACTGAGCCACCCAGGTGCTCCTGGAGAATTTTTTAAAGTAATAGTCTCTTTTCAAAAAAAAAGCTAATAAAGTAACAGAAAGAAGGAAAGGTGCCACCATCCTGTAGTGTATTCTGAACCTAAGGCCCTGGAGGAAAAGTTTATAAGCATTCTGTCTGGGTTTCCTTTTTGGTGCTTAAAAACATTTAATATCTTTAACTTATAATTCATCAAAATTGAACTTGTACTTATCACTTGGATCCTTCCTCACAAGCCACTAACATTTTGTTGCAAACAAGATTTTTCAAAATGTAAACCAATTTATCAAAGTAAAGGCCACCTATAAAACTGGTCTGGCTTTCTGCAGTAAGGCATACAGATCAAGTAGTGGGGAGGTCCCGGCTTCTCTTTTATTTGGTTTTAGACACGGCCGTTTAGACCGTGCAGGCTCAGATCCTTAGTCCATTCTTCACATATTCCTGGCCTGAAAGATGAGCGTGTCCTTCATCCGTGGAGTCCTGAAACCACTCTCATTAGGGGAAACACAAGATAAATACTTGTTATTAATTGTCCTCACACTCACAAATCTTATGGAATTGGCCTACATCTTTTACAAGTTATCCCTGTGGCATATAAGGCTCTGTGTTCAGGGATATGGTTTTCTGGCTCTGTTCCTCCTGCATTTACCAGAAATGAGCTTGACCTAGTACCACAAAAGCAAGTTCAAGTTTTCATTATGTAATAAGGGATAAAAGTCAGGCTACAGAATACAATTTTAAAAATTTTCTTTTAGGGCGCCTGGGTAGCTCAGTCGTTAGGCGTCTGCCTTCGGCTCGGGTCGTGATCCCAGGGTCCTGGGATCGAGTCCCGCATCAGGCTCCTTGCTCAGTGGGAAGCCTGCTTCTCCCTCTCCCACTCCCCCTGCTTGTGTTCCCTCTCTCGCTGTGTCTCTCTCTGTCAAATAAATAAATAAAGTATCTTAAAAATTTTTTTTTCTTTTAAATTATAGTGTGAACTAGCCAGTGTAAGACATGACCTTTAGATGATTTAAAATGTATGGAGAGTATCCACAGTAAGAATATTCAATTAATTACTTCTGGATTTTCCACTGGAGGGAGGGGTGGTGTAAAGCAGGAATGATGGAAATTCTTCCTGATCATTAAACTCAAATGTCATTAAAATTTCCTATCAGTGCTGCTAAAAAGGAGCCAAATAAAATGCCTTTTGTTTTATTCTTTCCTCCTGCCATCAGTCACCAGCAACAATAAATGAGCAAAGAAGGAAAGACAAGAAGGAACAGATAAGTCACCTAGTTTGTGCTCAATGTATTATTAAGGATAATTCACATACCAAAAAAAAAAAAAAATGCAGAATGATTCTCCCTCTCCCTTCTTACAATGTGTGAAACAGCAGAATATTTCCTGGGTTATTCAGAAGGAAAGAAAAATCTACATAAAAATATTCCAGGTATACAGTACCCATACCCATCCATAAGGTCCTGGAATCATGATTGCAAAGTACTGTCAAAATCCTGGTGAGCTTCCCCTGAGTATCCTGGCTTTGGAAAGGACAGCAATAGACAAGTTGGGTCTCAGTTCCCTCAATCCCTGAACACTGGATTGAATCCAGGGTATGGGAGGCCATTAGCTAACTTTACTTTGCTTACTTGGAGTTAAAGGGTTCTGAACACTATATGTAAATTTATGCAAATGAAAACATTAATCACAGCCCTAGATTTACTGACAAAATCTGGTAGCCCTTTCTCCCTTTGGAGAGCTTTAATTTTGCTTTTCATGGAGAAGAGGCATCTCTAAAGTCTTGTCTAGTCTAAAAATTCTATGAATTTAAAAATGCAATTAATCTCTGTCTCCTGGGATGTCATAAGCAGCATGAGGCATGGAATATCATGCACTATAATAAAGAAACGGTTATTTTGGTCTAGGTGCTGTATTGCCTTGAAACAAAGTTTGTTTGCTTGGCCATTTATAATACAAACAGCGTGTTACTGTATCTTTCTTCCAAGTAGGTCAAAATATTTCCATGCATTACATAATTTATTTCCATAACATCTTTGTGAATCATCTAGTAGGTGTTTGTGTTAGGATTTAACTTTATTTTAAAGAACTTGAAGACTTTAAGACTGAAGAAAATCCAGCAAACGTTTGCATTTACAAATTTGGTTGCTGTTTATCATACTGCTTTTTCACATTAATAGTGACTAAATAATATTAGAATGACACTTGCCATTTATCTGCCAAAATGACAATAAAGTATACATGGTAGGTCAAACCACAAATGCAGTCTCAAACTCTGACGATTAATATAAATCTAAGTCTCCTTGTTCTGCCGTAGGACTGGCAGCGACAGGCATCTTTGGTCGTGGGCATACTACATCTCTCCCTTCAGGGCACGCGGTGGCGGAAGGAAGCTGGCCACAGGCTGTCCCTCTAAACTTGCATGTCCTGCTTACTACTTACAGCTCCTGTCCAAAGTCAAGTCTTGGCAATTCTCTTGGGATACAGATGGTTCTCAAAGGTGGTGACACTTTCTGGACACCTAGGTGCATGGCTTGGTCAGGAGGACATGGCATTCTAAAGACAGGTAATTAAATGTCATTACACTGACAGGAGCCAAGATGCTTTACAGAAGTGTGAAGCAGTGCAGCAGAGGAATGTACAGCATGGCTAATAAAACCCTTCACTGCATGTCACTGGGCCTTCTCCTTTGAAATCTGATAGTCTTCTTCTAACTGCTTACGTCCAAGGTCTTAGCAACTGCTGCTCTTTGGCTACTGACCGCAAGTGTTAATACCAGGTCTAACTGGTAAAATATGAAGGGCTTTCCGGGTGCCTGGGTGGCTCAGTTGGTTGGGCGACTGCCTTCAGCTCAGGTCATGATCCTGGAGTCCCAGGATCGAGTCCCACATCGGGCTCCCTGCTCA